TACTCAACTGGCAGCAAAGAGATCAAAGGAAGCAGTGGATGGACTAGCAGCACTCCTAATACTGCTCCCCATCCATATCCTGTGTCAGAGGGTCTCAGGAGAGAGCTTCCAGCCCCATCCTGCATCAGTGAGGTAGAATAACGTGCTGTTAGATAAAGGAGTCAACACTCTGCTTTCCTATCCCTGGTGCCAGGGGGAGTAGCAGAGAGCTGAGCCTTGACTCAGAGCTGGCAGTAACAAGGCAGAATCAAGTGGTGGGAGGCAGGGCTGGTTGGCACTCTCCCATCCCTTGGTGTCAGCCGGGCAACAGAGAGGAGCCAAGCTTCTGCTCCCACCCTGCTGCAACAAAGCAGTGTGAGTCAGTCCTCTGATTCCCCACTTCCCGGGTGACAGTGAGTTCAGCAGCAGGGAGCTGATCTTCTACACCCATGCAGAGGCACAGGGCAGTGTAACTTGGTGATCCCCTTTTGTTGGAAAGGTGTGAATGGGGAGAAAGGGAACTTCACTCCATCAGTCTGATACAAGACAGTGTGAGTTAAAACCCCACTTTTGCTGGAGTAGTAGTGGGAAACTGAACAAAAAACCCATCTAGCTTTCTTGCTTTATCTCAAGAGAGGAAGTGCCTGCTGAAGAGACATTAAATCGGAAGCAAAGTCTCATAGTATAACCCCCCAAATAAACAGAATTCAATGGAAAAATCACTCATCATCTCAGAACCAAGAAAGTCACAACATTAATGAGAAAAGATAATCAACAGACCCTACACTGAGATGAATCAGATGCTGGAATTATAGAACAAGAATTTCAAGGCAGCCATCACAAAAAATTCTTTTAAAAGTAAATTAAAATTCTCTTGAAACAAAAGGAAATCTCAAAAAGCACAAAACTTACAAAAAAGAACCAAAAAGTAATTATATAACTGAAAACCACAGTATCTGAAAAAAAACAAAAAATAAAAAATACCTCAATGGATGGGCTCAATAGCAGAATATAATGATGGAGGAGAGAATCACTGAACTAAACTTTAGGATAGATCAACAGAATTCACCCAATCTGAACAACAGGGAGAAAACAAACAGAAAAAAATAATTAACAGAGTCTTGGAGACCTGTGGGATAATAACAAAAGAGCTAACATTCGTATGTTTGGAATCTGAGAAAAAGAGAGAAAGGAAAGTAGGTCTAAATAATATTCAAAGAAATAATAGCTGAAAACTCCCTAAATATGGCAAGAGACATAAACCTACAGCTTCAACAAGCTGTAGAAAAGATCTTATTCTATCCAAAAAGAATAAACCCAAAGAAATCCATGCCAAGACACATCATAAGTAAACTATGATGTTATGTACCTATATTGCAATAGGTAGAGAAGCCACTAAGAAACCTACATGCAAAGTGATATATATACTTAAAATCACTGTAAAGAAATCAAGATACAATCATAAAAACATTCAAGAAACCAACATCCAGGTAAAAAAAGGGAAACAGAGAATGAGAACCAGAGAAAACAAACTAAACCCAAACAATAAAATAGCATACTTAATCCCTAATGTATCAATAATTACTTTAAAAGTGAATGGTCTAAATATACCAATTAAAAGAGACTGACAAAGTGGATTTTAAAAAACTATGATTCAACAATATGTTATCTACAAGACTCACTTCAAATTCCATGACATAGGTAAGTTGAGAGCAAAAGAATGGAAAAAATATACCATGTAAACAGTTTCTTTTAGTAGTAGTGGCTTTATTAATATCAGGTAGTCTTCAAAGCAAAGAAAAACACTGGAGACAAAGAAAGACATTATATAATGATAAAAGGATCAATCCACCAGGAAGGCATAACAATCCTAAGTGTGTTCACACTAAACAACAGAGCTACAAAATTTGTGAAGCAAAAATTATACAACTCAAAGATAAATAGACAAATCCACAATTAGAGTTGGAGACTTTTGGTACTCTACTCTTAGCAACTGATAGAATCATTAGACAGAAAATCTGTAAGGACATATTTCAACTCAACAGCATCAACAATCAACTAATATAATTGACATCTATGGACTAATTCATCCAACAACTGCAGAATTCTTTTCAAGCTCACATGGAACAGTCACCAAGATAGACCACATTCTGGGCCACAAAACACATCTTAACAAATTTTTTTAAAATTAAAATTATACAATGTATGTGCTTAGACCACAAAAAATTAAACTAGAAATCAAACAGAAAGCTGGGAAATTCCAAAATACTTGGAGATTAAACAATACACTTTTGAATAACAAAAGTGTCAAAGAAGAAATGGCAAGAGAAATTTTTAAAACTTTGAACTAAATGAAAATGAATTGAAATTTTCAACTTATTAAAACTTGTAGCACAAGCAGTGCTTAGAGGGAAATGTATAGCATTGACTATGAGAAAAGAGAAAAGATATAAAATCAATAATCTAAACTTCCACCTTAGGAAACTAGAAAATGAAGGGCAAATTAAATCAAAGCAAGAAAAGGAAAAGAAATAATAATAATTAGAGCAGAAATCAATGAAATTGAACCAGGAAATCAATAGACAAGAGTTTGGTGGTTTCTTAAAAAACCATACATACCATATGATCCAGTAATCATATCCTTTAGTATTTATCCAAAGGAGCTGAAAATGCATATCTATAGAAATAGTTGCACATGGATATCTTATAAGGGCTTTATTCATAATGGCCAAAACTTAGAAGCAACCAAGAAGTCATTCAGTAGGTGAATGAATAAACTGTGGTACATCCAGACAATGGAATATTCAAGGCTAAAAAGAAATGAGCCATGAAGCTATGAAAAGACATGGGGAAAACTCAAACATACAGGGTGGGGCAAAAGTGGGTTTGTTGTTGTATGTGAAACAGTTTATTCTTGTTTTATTATTTATTACAATATTTGCCATACAAACAACTCTAAATTTACTTTTACCACCCCCTGTATGTTGTTTTTTCAACTTGCCTGAATCTAACGCTAGGTTAGTGTTAGCCAGAGTGAGTTTCTGTTGTTGGTAACCAAAAAAACTTGATATAGAACTCTGACGAGAATTTGGCAAAGGATATTAAAAATCAATAGAGAAAAAAATTAAAAGATAAGTAACCATGAGAAAATATTACCAACATATATGAACAAAGTATAATGTTCATACTATATTAAAAATTCATATAAGCAAAAATAATTCAATAGAAATTTTAACAACATATATGAACAGGTAATTAATAGAGGAAGAAATATAAATGTCTAGTGAACATGAAAAATGTTTAATCTTATTAGCAATAAACACAAATGAAATAATAATGAAGTAACATTTTTTCATTCAAGAAAAAAGTGAAAATTTGAAAAAAATTAAGATTCCAGTATTAACAAGATATAAAAAGCTAACCACTTTATAAATTATTGGCCAAAAACATAGCTAACACTATTTTCTCAAAGGAAGTTTGGTGTAATATCCATCAAAATTTTAAGTCGGTGTTTACTCTCTTTAGCAATTTCACTTCTAGGAATTAACCCTATGGAAAACATGTATACACAAATATAAATTTAAAAACTACATACAGTAATAAATATTGAAAATAATCTAAATGTTGAGAAGAGAAATGGTTAAGTAATTTAGTCATATCCGTAGTAAGGGAAAAACATTGCAGCAATTAAGAACAAGGTAGATTTATATGCATTAACATGGAACAATTTTCAAAATATATAGTTAAGTGGCAAAAGTCACAACATAATAAACTTAATATATTGGTAATGTTTTAAAAAACCAGTCTATTAAAAGATAAACATTTTCAAAACTACATGGCTTATATACAATACATTGCACATATTAAAGAAATATATCTATAATAAAAGTAAAAACACAATGAAGAATATACACCAAACGATGAAAAATGGTTTTATCTCCAGTAAGAAGGAAGCAATCTACAGGATAAAAAGAGACTTTCTTGCCTTTTCTTCTATATACTTCTTTTATTTCATGTATTTATATACTTATATAATGTAATAATTTATTAAAGATAGTAAAGTGCGCATAACATGAAACAAGAAAAATAATCTCTGGCAGGCAAAAAACCCTCCAAATTTAAAGTTTTAAATTGAATACTTCAAATTTTTTATTTTTCCACTCAAATAATATGAAATGCTTTATTATTTAGTTTTGAAATTTAAAAAACTATTAACAAATTTTTTTTGGTAAAGAATTAAGAAATCTTGGACTCAATTGACATTTAATGTAATTATTGAAATTTGTAATAAAATTTAATAGAAGTACTTAATAGTAAGAAATTTAAGAATATTTCTATTTTTGTAAAGACACAATGCTATTCATTGCATTCATTAATTCAAGATTTACTAACATCAACTGTTGATATTGTAAATGGAGTAATATTAATTCATAGGAAAAAGGTAAAGCCATAAAGCTTCAGCAAAAACCCTTCTGTAGAAGTGTTTGTGTAAGCTCATTGAAGTGTCTTTAGTAAGACTAAATTGTTGGTTAGATTTGCTAGCATTAAGAACTCATTATTTAATTTTATTCCAATTTCAGCGACTTAGAATCATGAGACAATTTAAACGTTTAGGCATCCTTATCAAAACATGAAAACCTTATCTTATAAATCTAAATATTCAAGGCCACTTAAAGCAAATGTTAGGCATCAAAAACTACCAAAATTCACCTGCTTTTTGACAGAAAAATCTTCCTAATGATAAAATTCAGATATCTGGGGAAAAATAAAACTTAACCTATTTAAGCTTAGAGTTATTGAATTAATTGATTTCTAATTATTCAGAGAGTAAATATATATCTCAAAGACTGCTCAAACGATCATTAATAATTTTACTTAGTAATTATTAATAAACTCATATGTATTCAAGTATAAAGTATACCTGATACAGAGGAATTCTAGGAAAACATTGAAAGTCTATTTGCTTTCTGTACGTTTCTTTCAAACTAAACAAATAACAGAAAAGAATAACACACTCCAACCTTTCTGTTTTGGAGTCATTGTCAATTTTGAACTGTTCAAATTCTTGGCTAAGAGAATGTAGCTTTTCTTGAAGTCTCTTTTCACGTTCTATACTTCCTTGATAAAATTTCATCTCTTTTTCCATTGCTTTCACTTTTTCTTCCATAGCTTTAAACTCATGGAGAATTAGATAGCTGACTCCACAGTACTTACAAACTTTTTCTTCAGGGGGCATCTAGAAAATAAAATATACATTTACTGAGATGACATTTTTTTTAAATTCTGGAAAATGAAGTTCAGCCAAAAATGTTAAGTTCAAGATGTTATTGCAGCTCTGCTGGTCAAATGAAGTAAATGTATACTGTACTACGTCATGGAGTAATAATGATGACATTGCTTACATCTGCATAAAATGTTTTAAATTGACATGCTATTGACTCTGACACAAAATCTTTGAATTAGAGAAGGATCTTTCAGAGTAATTATTTCTACATGGTATCTCTAAGAAAGATTTACTCTTGAAATACCTTCAATAAAGTTAAACTAAAAATGATGAAACCGTCTTTACAATTTTTGTTTCAAGATGAGTTTTCCATGAAGTGGGAAGGAAACACTGGCCTTTCACTGCCAACTGCACTGTGATCCTACAGATGCCTCTTGGCTTTTTCAGATCTTATTTTCCTCATTTATAAAAGTAGGACATTGAGCCAAATGAACTCTAATTCCTGTTCAGTTTTAACATTCTATGATTTTTATAGAATTTAAAATTCTATCATAAAACCACAAAGAGCAGAAACACTTTGAACTTAATCTCTTCTCCCTAAAATAGTTCTTTTCCCCTCAGGTACTTAGGGTTATACTCATTTTCTAGATAAGGAAAGGGAGACTATTGAAGTTAAATAACCAGCTGGTAGGTGGAGAAGTTAGGATTAAACCCAAGTCTATTTAAAACCAGTACAAATGCCTGTAACCATGTGTATCATATTTATCTACAATGTGTATGTCAGCTAAATTATCTTTCTTTAGATATAATGTTCACATATCTCTGGACAACATTGGAGCAGTGAAAAATAGAATTTTAGCAAAGTCAAGAGAGAGATAATTATTTTTTGTGTCAAGTACATAAATATTCCTCAAGTAGCCTCTACTTGTCTTACTATCCACAAAGTAACAGAGGCAGCTTCATTAAATATTTGCTCCAGGGCACTAAAAGGAAAACAACACGTGGATTGTTAAGAGAAATACTTACTCTTAATGTAACCTCCCTTAAGCCTGCAGAAATGGCTCCTGTAACTAAAAGTGAAACCAGCACATCTGCCACCACATCTGCCTATCAATGCTATTACCCAAGAGTGGTTAAAATAAACTAAGAATAAATTTTTATACAGTAAAATTTTGCACATCTAAATTTCAATAATAAAAATTTCAAATGTTAGAATCGCTATTATCAACAAGATAAGTAATAACAAGTGTTGGAGAGGTTGTGAAGTAAAAGGAACCCTCTTTCACTGCTGGCGGGAATGTAAACTGGTACAGTCACTATGGAGAACAGTATGGAGACTCCTCAAAAAATTAAGAATATAGTTACCATATGACCCAGCAACCCCTCTTCTGGGTACCTACCAGAAATATGTGAAAATACTTTATTTGAAACAATTTTGTTAGATTGTATTGTGACAGCTGTCATATTGGCATGCATTTTTAAAAAAACATCAAAATTGGTGAATTTTTGTGTAGTCATTTTAATATTGAAGATGGATGAAGATATGCGACATTTTTGACATTATGCTTTATTATTTCAAGAAAGGTAAAAACATAACTGAAATGTAAGAAAGATTTTGCAGTGTAAAGTATATGGAGAAGGTGCAGTGACTGATGATGTCAAAGGTGGTTTGCAAAGTTTTGTGCTGGACAATGTTCTGCACCTGGGTAGACCAGCTGACGTTGACAGCGATCAAATCGAGACATTAATTGAGAACAATCAACGTTATACCATGCCAGAGACAGTCAACATACTCAAAATATCCAAATCAATAAGGTTATTGGTGAAATGAAAAATGTGTCTTTTATTTTATGGAAAAAACTAAACAGACTTTTTGGCCAACCTCATATACACGATGGACTACTACTCAGCTAAGAGAGCACAGGCATGGAACCATGGAAGAGACTCACAGCAGTCGGGGGAGGAAGGAGGGGGGTAATGGTGGAAACACGGGGAAGGGACTAGCGAAAGAACATATATGAATGACCCATGGACATGGACAATGGTGTGGGGATCGGCTGTGGGAGCGGGGTTTGGGCTGGGCAGAGTAGGGCAAAGGGGGAAAAACTGGAACAACTGTAATAAAATAACAAAAAGAAAAGGATGATATACTGCCACTTGCAACAGCATAGATGGATCTTCAAAATATCATGCTACACGAAATAAGTCAGAAAAAGTTAAAAAACCATATGATTTCACTCTATGTCGATATAAAACTAAAAGCAACAAATGGACAAGAAAAACAAACAAATAAAAACTCATAGACACAGACAACAGTATGGTAGTTACCAGAGGGAAGGGAACTGGGGGAGTAATAAAGATTAAGGGGGGGTCAAATAGAGGGTCAGGCAGAAGTAAGGCCTGCTTGAGAGTGGTTGGTAGGGTAATAATATGGGTGTAATAATTTATAGTTTTAATTTGAACATTTCACCTAAAATGTCATATGGCATGCTTGAGTGTGATATTGTTATATTACAGAATTACATGGTTATGATTCTGTAATAAAAGATTTTTTAATAAAAAAAGGAGTATTATTTGTGCTGGACCCTGTATATGGTGATAAAGATTATTTGACTTTGGATGGTGGGCAAAAAATGCAATATACAGATGATGTATCATAGAATTGTACACTTGAAACCTATATAATCTTATTAATCAATGTCACCTCAATAAATTTAATTTTTAAAAAAATTTCAATTGCAAACCAAATGCATACTATAGGAAACCAATTAACGACTACATCAATCATCTAACTGCCACTGATACCAAAAATACTGATTTATACAGCAACAGTTTTGAAAAAAATCATAAAGATAATCTGGTTCACGCTCCAGACAGGTTCATTAAGCCTATTCCAACCTAGATAGGTTGCTATCCAGACTGTATATAATCACCCCAAATGATGGAAAACTACTTTGTAAAGAAACCTGTGGCATCTTCTATGCCTGGTTTTATAAGGAAATTTTTTTCCCACGATCACCCCAAATTTGCCTGCCTGGAACACCCACTGGTCCTAGACCTCCTAGTAACCATATCTTCTCCAGGTCAACACTTCCAACTCCTCCTGCTGTTTCCCGTATGGCATGGTTTTGAATTTCTTTCTCACTCTAGATAATTTTTTCTGAACTTGTTCTGGGTTCTACATGTGTTTCAAAGTATGGTGCCCAGAATTGAATACTTCAGTGTGTCTGGCCTCACTAAAACAGAGTAAGAGAGTACTCAAACGTCCCTCATTCTAATATCTCATTAGTATTTAGTATCATTAGTACTATCTTCTAATGCAAACTTAGATTATAATGATTTCTTATATTTTTAGAAATTACATTGCTATTATATAACTGTCTTTTATGTTAAATAAACCTCCTATTTAAAAATACTGCAGTGCAACCCCTGCCTTATTATACTGAATATACCAATCCATTCCTTTCCACCTTTTTTATCTTTTTATCTAATCATTATTATATTTTTTCCCATTACCATTTAGTCCCCTATACCCCTCTCTCTCCAGTAATCCCCACACTGTTGTCTATGTCCATGAGTCCTTTTTCCTTTATGCTCAATCCCTCCATCCCTTAACTTCCCCCTCCTTTAGCTGTCATCCTGCTCTCTATCTAGGAGTGGCCCCGTTTCCCTTGTTAGTTCAGTTTGTTCATTAGATTCCACACATGAGTGAAATCATATGGTATTTGTCTTTCTCTGACTGGCTTATTTCACTTAGCATAATGTTCTCCAGGTCTACCCATACTGTCACAAAGGGTAAAATTTTCTTTTTTTATGTGGCCGAGCAGTATTCCATTGTGTAAATGCCCCATAGTTCTTTTATCCACTCATCCACTGATGGACACGTGGGCTGTTTCCATATCTCAGCAATTGTAAAAAAATGCTGCAATGAACATAAGAGTGCTTGTGTTCTTTTGAATCGGTGTTTTGGGTTCCTTTCGATAAATTTTCAGATGTGGGATTGCTAGGCCAAAAGGTAGATGCATTTTTAATTTTTTGAGGTATCTCCATAATGCTTTCTACAGTGGCTGCACCATCTGCATTCCCACCTACAGGGCAAAAGGGTTCCCCTTTCTCTGCATCCTCGCCATCATTTGTTTGTTGATTTATTGATAATAGTGATTCTGACAGCTGTAGGATGGGATCTCATTGTGGTTTTAATTTGCATTTTTTTAATGATTAGTGATATTGAGCATCTTTTCAGATGTCTATTGGCCATCTACATGTCCTCTTTGGAGAAGTGTCTATTCAGGTCCTTTGCCTATTTTTTAATTGTTTTTTTTCTGGTGTTAGTTTTTTAAATTCTTTGTAAATTATGATAAAGATGTATCGATAAATATGTTCTCCCATTCTGTGGGATTTTTATTTTGCTGATGATTTCCTTTGCTATGTAAAAACTTTTCAGTTTGATGTAGTCCCATTTGTTTATTTTTTTTCTTTTGTTTCCCTTGCCTGGGGAGATATATCTGATAAAATATTGCTACAAGCAATGTCTGAGACTTTGCTGCCTATGTGTTCTTCTTCAATTTTTATGATTTCAGGTCTAACATTTAAGTCTTTGATCCATTTTGAATTTATTCTTGTGTGTGGTATAAGAAGGTGGTCTAGTTTCATTTTTCTGTATCTGTCCAATTTTCCCAACACCATTTACTGCATAAACTATCTTTAGCCCATTGTATGTGCTTGCTTCCTCTGTCAAATATTAACTGACCATAAAGGTGTGGGTTTATTTTTGGGCTCTCTATTCTATTCCATTGATCTATGTGCCTGTTTATGCCAGTATCAGGCTGTTTTAATTACTATGGCCTTGTAGTATAATTTGATATTAGGTAGTGTGATTCCTCTAACTTTTTAGGATTTTCTTTCTCAGGATTGCTGTTGCTATGAGGGGCCTTTTGTGGTTCCATATCAATTTTTGAAATATTTGTTCTAGTTCTGTTAAGTACGTCATTGGAATCTTGATGGGAGTTGCACTGAATCTACAGATTGCTTTGGGTAATATAGACATTTCAATGATGTTAATTCTTCCTAAACGTGAATATAGTATATGCTTCCACTTACTTGTATCTTTTTCTATTTCTTTCTTCAGTGTCTTATAATTTTCCAAGTACAGATCTTTTATATCCTGGGTTAGGTTTACTCCTAGGTATTTTATTCTTCTTGAAGCAATTGTGAATGGGATTGCTTTCTTTATTTCCCTTTCTGTTAGTTCATTATTGGCATATAAAAATGCAAATGATTTCTAGATAGTAATTTTGTATCCTGCTACTTTGCTGAATTTGTTTATCAGTTCTAATAGTTTCTGTGTGGAATATTTGGGGTTTTCTATGTATCGTATCATCTGCAAATAATGACAGTTTTACTTCTTCCTTTCCAATTTGAGTGTCTTTTATTTTTTCTTCTTGTCTGCTTGCTGTTGCTAGGACTAAAAATATGGAATGCTTCACAAATTTGTGTGTCATCTCGGTGCAGGGGCCATGCTAATCTTCTCTGTCATTGCAATTTTATTATATGTGCTGCCAAAGCAAGCACCTTTCCACCTTTTGTAGAGATCTGCCTTTCACAGTACTGGCTCTTCTCTGCTGTAGGGTGACTCAAACCCCCTCAACCCATCCACCCTACCCACGGCTGACTGGTGGAAAAGGACTGGACATGACACCCAAAAGAATCAAGCACTAATATGAGAATGATCCAACTAGGCATGTAAGTGTTGAAGATCCAAGCATTTAGGAAACCTTTAGGGCTAACGACCCAATTATCTTTGTAACCAACCTCTAAAGGTACATGTCTTCAGGAATATTATGACAAAATTTGTCTAATGCCTTCATAAAGTCCATATATTCTATGTGTACTACAGTTCCTGGATCTAGTAACTCTAGAATTCATGGATAAAAAATGTTGAATATGACAAAGTTGAGGATAGAACTCCACAGCACATCACATCTCCTTGGTTGATGCTGATCCATTACTTAGCACATTTCAGGTATAATTCTTCAAACTGCTATTAAACTACCCAATTATCTTTGTAACTAGTGTATATGTATTCATATTATCTTCAGGAATATTACAAAAAAAATTGTCAAATGCCTTCATGAAGTCCATATATTCGATGCCTACTACCATTCCTGGACCTAGTAACTCTACACAAAATGGAATAGCAAGGGAGACCTCCCTGCTGTTTCTCTTAATCAACACCAAGTTTGCCCAGTTTTATTGGTTCTCTTAATATATCCTCACAAATCACCCTTTATAATACATTTTGGAATCTTGCCTGGGATTGAAATTGAGTTTATGGGTTGTAGTTTAAGGTCATTTTTGTACATGGAATGGCACTTGTATGTATCCTGCAATCTCATTTAAAGGTACTGTCAGTCCCCAGGAATATAATTCATCCACATCAAGAGACCTAAACTAATTCAGAGCAGATGGGTATTTTCTTACCATCCCTTTGCCCATCGTTAGTTTTGGTTCCTTCTCATTAGTTTGAAAATTAAAATGCTTACTCCAAGGCACCTTCATCCTTAACCTTTTGCCTATTAATCACAGTTCTTGCCCTGTTCATGGCAAAGCACATTATCCTTAGTCTAAAGAAAACTCTTGCTGGATGAGGCTTCTTTGCAGCCTGATGTACAAAACAGAAATAGCATAAACTTCACAGTTGTGAAAGCTATTAGAATGTTATTCCACCCTAGCAATTACTGGGAAGGGAGCTAAAATAAGTGAAGTAAAACATTTTATAGAACAGGTCTTCTGGAAGTTCAGCAAAGAAAGCCGAAACATGATACCATTATGATCTAGGAAACAAGACAATCAAATTATAAAATAATAAGTCCATATAAGTAGTACAACCTGAATCACTGGGTAATTTATGATAAATAAATATATTGAGTAAACATTTTCAGTGCTATTAAATTGTAAATAATATTCTGTAAGTAAAATTGCAGCAGAAAAAATGTAATAACACTTTCAAATTCTTGGTGTCTATATGAGCTAATTACTTAGGACATTTCTGTGAAACTTGAGAAGATATGAAATACTATAATTATGTTCCCAAATGAGGTAAGTAAAAGTTATCTGGCTTTTTTATGAAATATAATTTGTGCTTCATCCTTATAACTTGGTGTTATATCGTCTCCTTGTTTCACAAGTAAAATAATGACATGCTGTCATTCTTGACAAAATGGCTATTATTAGCAGCATGCCTTTGCCTTCTAGATGTACTTTGTAGGTGGCATTAACAAATGCAGTATATTAAACAAATGCAGAACCATTTAAAAGTAAATTATAAAATAAACTTATCAACTGCAGTATTTATACTTCTTAAATTACAGTTACTTGATATAAAAATGATGTAAATTTTTTTAAAATCTTAAATTAGGCCTTGAATCCTTTGTGAAATTCCTATCTATGCTTCAACTAGAAAGGACACTCAATAGCCCCCTGCTGCCCTATTGAGTCATTCTCTGCTCCAAAAATTGTTCCTCCTTTCTTACTATGCTTGGTTAAGGAGAAAAGAAACAGATATGCTATTCCACAAAGGTAAGAGTAACAGCAGTATAAACTGTTAACCCTTCCAAGAGGGCCTGCATTAAAAAGATGACTTTACTCAAAAACAACAAGTGTCTAGCTAGATAATTTCACTGAGATTGAGAGAAACATTTTGAGACAGAACAATCAAAATTTTGAGGCACACAGACCACCTGACCATTTCATAAGGCCATCAGAACCCTTACTCATCAATAAGTCAACTTGCTGTATCACCAATTCAAAAACCAATTTGGCAAAGAAGCATCTACGGAAAACAAAAAACAAAAAACAAAAACCCCACCTTCATTATACTTAATGGTGAAAGAGTGAGTGATTTTTCCCTCTACAATAAGAAACATGGGAAGGATATTCACTCTCTCTGCTCTTATGCAACATAATGCTGGGAGTCCTAGCCAGAGCAATAAGGCAAGAAGAAGAAATAAAGGATATACATATCAGGGAGGAAAAAACAAAACAGTTCCTGTTTGAGATGACTTGATTGTCTACACAGAAAGTCCCCAGAAATCCACAATAAAACTTCTAGAACCAGTAAGTTCAGCAAGGTTAATGATGTAAGATAAACATACAAAAAAAATTGCATTTCTATATATTGCCAGTGAACACATAGACAATGAAATTAAAATTATAATACCAATTACAATTGCTCAAAAAGTGAAATACTTAGGTGTAAATAAAACAAAACCTGCACAGGACTTGTATGCAGAAAACTGCAAACATGGATGTAAGAAATAAAAAATCTAAACAAATGAAGAGACATACTGTATTTATGGTTGGAAGACTCAAAAATTAAAGATATCAATTCTCCCCAAATGTATATATAGGTTTAATATAAGTCTTATCAAAATTCCAGCCAGATGTTTTTTATATATAGAAAGGACTGTTCTCAAATTTATATGGAAAGGTAAAGAAACGAAAAGAACTAAATCTTGAAAAAGAAGAATAAAGTGGGAGGAATCATTTTACTACATTTCAAGACATATTGTAATACTACAGTAATCAAGACTGTGTGGTACTGGCAGAAGGACAGATTAACAGAATAGATCAGAGAACCCAGAAATATATCTACATAAATATGCCAAACTGATTATTTGGCAAAGGCACCAAAGTAATTTAATGAAGAAATGAAAGCCTTTTCAATAAACAATGCTAGAAAAATTGGATACCCATAGATTTTTTAAAAGGAACCTCAACCTAAATCTTATGCACTATACAAAAAGTAACTGAAAATGAATCATAAACTTAAGTATAAAACATAAAAATATGATTTTAGAAGATAAAAAAATCTAGGATAAAATCTTCAGGATCTAAACTAGGTAGAGTTTTTATACTTGATACCAAAAGTATGAACCATAAATGGAAAAACTGATAACCTAAACTTCATCAAAATTTAACACTTTTTCTCTACAAACACCCAGTGAAGAGAATGAAAGGATAAGCTACGACCAAGAAATAATATTTGCTAACCACTAACAAAGGATTACTATCTAGCTTATATAAAGAACTCTCAAACTCAACAGTAAAAAAAAAAAAAAAATCCAATTAGAAAATAGTCAAAAGACATGAAGAAACATTTCACCTAAGAGGATATACAGATGCCAAATGAGCACATGAAAAGATACTCAACATCATTAGTCATTAGGAAAATGCAAATTAAAACCACAATGCAATATAACTGCACACCTATCAGAAAGGCTAAAATAAAAATTAATGACAACATCACATGCTGATTAAGATGCAGAGGAACTGGATCACTCATACGTTGCTGGTAAGAATGTAAATGGTACAGTCTCTGGAAAAGTTTAGCAGTATCTTAAAGAACTAAACATGCAACTACCGTACAACCTAGCAATTGTACCCTTGGGCATTTATCCCAGGAAAATGAAAACATATGTTCTCATAAAAACTTATATGTGAATATTTATAGTAGCTTTATAAGTAATAGCCAAAAAACTGGAAAACACCCAGATGTTCTTCAATAGGTTAAACAAACCATGGTATATTCATACCATTTAATACTACTCAGCAATGAAAAGAAATAAACTATTGATACATGCAATAACCTGAATAAAGCTCCAGAGAATTACACTATGAATTACACTCCAGAGTGAAAAAAACTGATCCCAAAAGGTTAAATATTGCATGATTTCATTTATATAACATTCAAGATCAGATCAGTTGTTGCCAGGGGTCACGGATTAGGGGTAAGGGAGTGGTGGAGGTCTGTGAAGGGGGAGGTTGAGTGAATGTGGTTATAAGAGATCTACAGGAGGAACCCTTGTTGTAACAGAACTGTTTCATATCCTAATATCTTGGTTGTGATATTAGAGTATAGTTTTGTCTGATGTTGCCATTGGGAGAAGCTGAGGTAATAGCATGTGAATCTATAATCTCAAAATAAGAAGTTTAATAAGAAAATAATAAAAATAAAAATAAATCAATCTGGAACTGAAATACCAAAGATTAATCCATAAATGAATCTTATTAAGCAATTTCAAGAAATGTTGGCTTCATATATAAATTATATATGACATACATATGTTAATCTGCATATGCTTCCAAAGTATATTTCCTCTAATACCTACTTTTCCCCTGGGACACCCCACCTTAGTAAACTCTATGGCCCTTTATGGCCAGCCAGAAAAAGTATTTTGAACTAAAAATTCACAAATGCAGTTTTTTTCAAGATTCACAGTAACATTTTTTTTAAAAAACTGTTTTTTCCCAACCAACTATCTTAGATCACAATATTAAATGACTAGTCTCTCCAAGAATTGCACAGCTTACTACTTTTTCTGTCACTAGGTTTTAAAACTGCAGTTGCTTAAAAACACAACATACATACCCACACACACATACACATATCATTACTTTTCCAGGATAATAATGTTAACATTTCTATGACCCTTTTCTCATTCTTTTTCCTCTCCTTTAACTCAACACAAAATCTGACCCTAACCACAGTGGCCCAAAATGACCTGGAAAATTACGTTTATTTTTTCTGGCAATGACAATCTGTGCTTGGAAATATAAAACTGTTATTCGGAATAAATTTCAAAGTTTCAAAGTACTAAAATTACTATACTGAAACAGAACAAAATGAGCTGTTACTGCTAGAGAAAGGGATTGTTATCCCAGGAAGAACAGCATGCCCTCCAATCCTTGTGCGACCACTTCTGTTTTATAAAATAAACAGCTCTGATCTCTTTAGTTTACTTTGTGTCCTCTGGTAATAAATATCTTTAGTGAAGCTAAACTCCTATTACAAGTGCTCACTTTGTCACCATTTAAAAAAGAGAGAGAGATCAGCTTTACTTTTGCAAAATAACTGATTCCTTCCACTAATTTGTTGCAGTTGTTTTGATTCCTGTGTATGTCCTCAAGCAAAAACAACAGAAGAAAAGTGGTTCATTGCTTTTTTTTTTCCCCCTAAAAGGAGGGAGTCCATATATCTCTACGATGGGTTGACATTCAGGAGGGGAAGAAATATAGAATTATTACTTTGCTCACCTATAAGTGTTTTAATTTTAAATTTTGGCAATAAAATCCTAAACACAGAACTGTACTATCATTCATTACATGTGCATTCTGCTTTCAGAATGCTGGATGAAAATTCTAGCAAAGCTGCTGGTAATCAAAGGTGAAAGACAAGAATGAGTCAGCTCAATCTAGAGAGAAGACAGATTTTAAAATATGGTCTAAATACATATGGAAATAAACTGTAGAGTCTAGCAGCAGACAAAGGGGATGAGTATGGTCTTGCTGTCCAGCCCATGGACCTGTTTTATGTTTTGTGCCACTCGGGAAGTTGGAAGTCTGAGGTGTATTTTATGCTCAGTCAGAAACTGTGATAAAAAGCAAAAAGACCTAGGAATGGAAGTCAAAAGATTATACTTTTCTTGCTTCCCTAAGGTTCCCTTAAATGATGAGACCAGGGGTAGCTGATTTAACAATCTTAACCTTCCAGTCAGGGAATGGATTCATTCTCTAATTATAGCTTATTATCATCATCTCTACGCTTTCCCTTTGGGGGTCATCCCCCCTCCACCTCTACTTTTTCTTGCAACTTTTCTACTACTACCTATTTTGCTATTAATAACACAGTGTAGCATGGTCATTTTCACATTCTTCATCAAGTACCTTTCGTCTAAGTTATCAGTCACCCTATTCCCATATCACATAGCAAAAGTATGGATGGAAATAAGGCGAAAGGGTTCCCCTCACCTTCTCCTCCCTCATTGCTACACTAACCTTCCTCGCCTACACAGAGGAATTTAAAAAAAAGGAAGGAGGGGAGGGAGGGATGGAGGAAGGAAAGGAGGACAAGGACTTCTCTAGAAAGAAGAGTCAGCATAAAAACTAACACAGAAGTTAACAGGGGTGGGGTGGGGAGGCATACTGATCTACCCACCTCATGTCCTTTTTTCCCCAATAAAGAGACGGAGACAATTTCCAAGCCATTATGAAAAGAAATGATTTGTTTTCTTCATTTAATAATGAAGTATTATTAAATAATTCTAATCCAAAGTATTCCTATTACCATTATAAGCTATATACAGTGTGGGGCAAAAGTAGGTTTACAGTTATGAGTATGAAAAACAGAGTTTATTCTTACATTCTTTATTATTATATTATTTTCCATACAAACAACTGTAAGCGTAGTTTTGCCTTACCCTTTATCTGTTTGACATGACTCTGTACAGAATGATGTATGCAAGCTGACTAGGTAGATATACTGCCTGATCGCCAAGCAATTTAACAAGTACATTATGGATAATCTAGATGAATCAAGCATAGGTAAGAAGTTATGGAAAACAAGTAACTGACTTATTTTTAGATTGTGCTTTAATAAGCTGTGGGGTGCATGTACACATTTTCATTGCTTTATAATCAAGTACCCAGAACAATGCCTGGCACATGATAGGCTCTGGATAAATATTTGTTGTAGAAAAGAATCTAACTTAGGCCTGAAAAAGGGCAAAGCTGCACTTCATATTCTAAACATTCAGTGGTACAAAGGGTGCCATCGAATGCTTGTCCAGGGCCTCAGGCAGCAGCTCTTCCCCTGGAGTCTCCACTTCTCTGCACTGTATGGACAGCTGCTTGCCATTCCTGCTTTGAGAACATAACTGTAGATTTATGAAATGTTTGGTTTTAGCATTTTTAAACAATTTGCTTATAAAGTACCTTAAATATGAGAAAAAACATTCTACAACTCTCATAAAAACCTTGTCAAAATAAATACATACTTTTTCATATAGTCAAAACATTTACATTGTTAAACATTCCCTAAATAGGCCAGCTTTTTCTCACCAGTAAGCTTCTGTTCCCTTGGCCTAGCATGCCCTATTGCCTATGAGTCTATAGAAATACTCCGCCTTTAAGGGTCAGCCCTAGTTCTACCTCATGCATAAAGCTCCTCCCTTGACCATCCCAAAACTTGGGGATTCCTCTCCCTACCTCCTCCTTTCTCAGAAGATAAGATCTTGTATGGCATTTAAATTAGACACTGTCTTTTAGAGTTATTTTTTTCATGCCATTAAATATCCTCTTCCTGACAAATGATTGGAATCTGAAGTATGGGTATTGTTTCTTGCAGATGGTTTTGTTTTGTTTCTTTTAACAGGGTAGTAATGGAAGGAATTCAGTTGAAGGAGAAAGGAAGGACATTCCACGTCTACAAACTGATAAAAGCAGCATTTCCCAGGTAAGCACAGCATACACAGCTGAGCTCTCGCTGGGCTTTCTATCTCTTATAACTAACTTAAAAGGTGAAGGGAATTAAATGCAGTGGCTGAAAAAGTCTTTTCTGGTAATTGGACTTCCCCCTTCCAGTTCCTGCTAGATTGCAGTTTACATAATCTGAAGAACATGCAGTAACAGTAAGTATCAAGTTAAATCAATGGCATGGTTAATGCTAACAGGAAGCCCAAAGCAACATGAACAAAGGATAAAAGCATATCTGAGAGCTGACTGCAATTTCTTTAATTAAAAAGTAACAGACTGGTGGTTAAGAGTTGACTGTAGATTTGCTGAAAAACCTGAATGATTAATGATAGCTAAAGTCTGAAGTTTTAATTCACAATTTGTCGATCAGTTTCAAAGAGATATTTTTTAAAATTATACTGTTAACGATGTATGCATTGCCAAACCAAATATGGGAGAAATGTGTTTGCTTGAGCACAGATATGAACTAACAGGGAGGAGATTAGCATGAAACTATGAAAAAGAATTGTTAACCAGATTAAATGTGTTGATATATATGAAAGGGCTTTAAAAAGTGCCTGGTGCAAGATATAAGGTAAACTGAAATAGACCCTGAGAGTGAGAGAGAGAGAGAGAGAGGGAGAGATTTAAAAATTTAGCATCATGTAAAGCTACAAACTAATTTTAATTTCTGTGGTGGTTTACTACTAATTACTTGTTTTGCAAATACAGAATAAGGATCACTTAAAATTTTAAACAGACCCATTTATTCCAGTTTTTTAAAAACTTTTTTTTCCTGTAAATCCACTAGAAAAATATCTAAATATACTATCAAGACATTCCTGGGGCCCTCTTTTCCCAAGGGCTCCACAAACACCTGGTCAAATACTGTGCTGGAATTGTGTATCTGTCTTCTTTTACAAGTCAAACACTCGGCACTGAATTGAGTTCCACAATTCAGATTGTTCCCTTCCCCACTCCATCAGTTCATTACCGATGCCATTACAAAAAATAAATACAAAACCTCTGAATTTGCTCCCCCAGGTTTTATAATCACCTGCTTGTTAAAATGTTACTAATGTTATACTATAATAACATGATATCATACCTTTTGGATTTCTTCAGGTAACGCATGCATGGGAATGTGACGATCCATAATTTCCCAAAATATACCGAAGGAACTCTGAAGCAAAATGATCTAAAAATATTGATGGCAATAATCAGAATTGAAATAACATGAAAAAATTTCAAATTAAAAGATATAAATTCTTGAGAGTATTTTTAGAATAGTGATAACTGTTTCAACAGATGTTTATTTCATCAATTCAGTGTTAAATGGTACAAGTGGGGTTTTCTCAGTTATTAAGTCAATAAAACAGGAAAGACCTGTAGACAGACTACTGATAATAGCTGCAAATGTTTTCTTTCTTTAGAAATTAAAAGTCTACTAGTAATTTCAGTGGTGGTTTACTACGAATTATTTGCTTTGCAAATACAGAATAAGGATCACAAAATTGTTAACAGAACCATTTATTTCAGTTTTTTTGAAAAGCTACTAGAAAAATGTATAAATATGGCATTTTAGTTCAGCAGACAAGCAATTGTGACACAAATGCTGGTTTAAATGATGATGTACAGAAGAAATACTCAGTTATCAGATTAAATATGATATGCAGGCCCTGAACAGAAGAGTCATCAAAGCATGAGAAGCCAATTGCAAATTTTACCTATAAATTAACAGTTTAATAATTTTTATGCAGATATTTTATTTTTAATAGATTTTAAGTTTATAATAAAACAATTCAATATAAAACTTTCATAAAAACTATACAGGATGAATGGAGGAGCACTTTGGTTTTGGGGTTTTTAAAAAATCTTTCCCAAATATGGAGAAAGAATAGACAGCCCAGACCCTGGCCACATAGCTCAGTTGGTTAGAGAATTGTCCCAATACACTGGTTGTAGATTTGATCCCCGGTCAGAGCACATACAATAATTAACCAATGAATGCATAAATAAGTGGAACAACAAATCTCTCTCTCTCTCTCTCTCTCTCTCTCTCTCTCTTTCTCTCTCTCTCATCAACAAATTTAAAAAAAATTTTTAAAAAAAGAGCTGGTCCAATTTCATGAGTGAGAGATGTTTATACATATATATCCAAGGAGTGAGGGGCAGAAGTGGGCAGCAGAGCAAGATGATATAGGCCCAATTCCACAGCATGAAAGAAGGCCTAAGGGCCAAAAGTTGTAGACAATGAAAAATCTAGGAGTTGAGGAAAAAAAAATGTCTTGGAGTAGAGTATTAGTGAAGGCTTCCTGAGGCTGTTTGCCTTTGATCAGGGTGGGATTTTGACAGAGACAAGAGAGGCATAGTGCTCTATCAGAGACAGCAACCCCGGCCTTGCCTAGGTAGCAAGGAAATTGTAAGTGACAAAAATTTTTGTAGCAGTAGTATTTTTTAAAAATCATGCAACCATTGGTAGAAGAGAGAATTCCCTCCCTAACCCATTAGCACAAAACCTGTTTTAATGAGTTGCTGTTTACAGCAAATAATTAACCAGCTGTCTTCCCAAATAAATGTAATGTGCGTGCATGCGTGAGTGCGCATGTGTGCATGTGTGTGTGTGTGTGTGTGTGTGTGCGCGCGCGTGTGTGTGTGTTTGGTAAAGTTAACTGGAGCTAACTATGGGGGTAAAGTTAACTGACAGTTAACACAGGCCCACATGGCCAAGTACATAATAATCTGATGTTTGGCAGACTGTCACTGTGATGTGGCAAGAGCTCATTATTCACAGAGGGCTCATTATTCTCATTTCTGCCATTTTACAGTGGACTCACCAACAGTAACATAAGATGTCATGAGCTTAATTAAGCTCTATTGGGAGAATCTCTCCTAAATTACCAACTAAATCTCCTTTTAAAATTCCACCCACAAAATTATTTGAGAGCATGGATCTAGTGACAGTATAAACAAGGCACCAGTGGGACTACTTTTATTTAGAACCTTTGTTGTCTGTAAATCTATTCCAACTCCGTGGTCTTACTCTACTAAGGGGGAAGAATTGGCAGGTCCTAATTATTGAGGAAAAATTAAAAGTAAAATATTCTGCCAACCCAGAAAATCTCTCCATAGTAGAAAGATAGCAAGTTTATTATTGAATATGCATTTAACTAGACTGTGAGGCACATAACAATCAATCTGCTAATGAGATTACAAAGACAGAAAGAAATGTCACTGTTTTATACAGCCAGGCAGATACAATTCATTACATACATGTTCTTCAGATAAATGGTAACTTGTCCTCAATATAGCTTTCTATACACTCTTTCATACTTCGTTTTAAATTCACCCGGTATTTGAAGTGGCCATCCGTGCTAGCTAATTGCGTTTCTTCTAAGGAATGCAAGCCTCTATATGACAAAGTACTATAGGTTACTAGGTGGCATCTAGACTAAAACTCCCATGGAGATGTGGAAACGGAGCTACCCTCCTTGATATTTACATTTTAAAGAAATGGCTCACAGGTCCTCAAGAAAAACATTCTGGGTCTTAAAAAGCTTTGCATACGCATTAAAGGAAGAGTGGGGGCATTCAGGAATAAGCGGTTTCACAAGAATGGGAAGTGGAAGGTCTCTTTCCCTTTTGGCAACAGGGAAATTTTTGTATAATTTTAATTTACCATTACATTATTTTGCGTGTTTTATCAAATCGCTCCCTTTTATTCTTTACCACACACGTGCAGACTGCCCTTCGGCAAGAGGTGAGGTGACAGATAACTGGCAGCAGCTACGTGGGTATTTCTGAACCTGCTCTATGTAACAGGGTGACAAGGCAGATACCCGAAACACAGAAATGTCCTTGATTTTTCACTTCCCCTTCCCTTCCTCACACCAGTGTCACGTTGGGCCGTTAACTCACGTTCAGTTTTCAGGCCCTTTCATAAAAGAACTACTCCCCTGGTGTGAATCACCCGCAAGTGAGGGTCGGGTGAGGTGGGTGTCACGTCTTAAGACTTTCCTTGAAGCTGCGGGGTTTTCCAAATAGAAATCAACTACAAGGCCAGCCAAAACTGCTGGGTTTTGAAATCTGTCCCTTTCTAACCCCATTCCCTCGGGACCAGCCGCTGCAGGAAGAAGAGGTGGGTGCGACCGTGAGACCCAGTCGCGCACTGCGGGGCAGAAGGAGGTGCGTGGCCCAGGCAGGCTCGCGAGGACCAGCCAGCGGACGCAGATGGGGGCGGCGGCGAGGCGCGGGCCCCATCCCCTCGCCGTAGCGTGGCGGCTCATTTTTCTGGGCCTCTCCCGGGCGCCAGCTCGCCCCCGCTCCGGAACTGCGTGCCGGGGACAGGGTCATCCCGCGGCTCACGGAAGCCGTTCGTCGTCTCTCACCTAGACCTGGACTCCGCCGGGTGAGAAACGGCTTTCCCGGTCTCCTGGGAGACCGTGTTGCACGTAGGCCTGACGTCAGGGCGCGATGGCGTCACGGCCCACGTCTCTCGCCAACGCGAGAACCGGATCCCATCCCTGCCCCACCTTGAGCCCCACGCGGCGAGCGGGAACGGGAAAGCTCGTGGCCGGGTCGAAGGAAAGGGTTCATCTAAAGCCGAGTGCTGTGAGAGGCAGGGAAAGGCGAGGCCGGGGGACGGGGGTGGACGGTAGTGCGGGCTGGAGTCGTGGCAGCGACTGTCGGGATGGAGGGAACAGGTCGCAGAGAGGTGCTGCCTGGGCTGGAAGGCCTACGTTCGTCTACCTCTCAGCCCTGGTCCTTGGGTCCGTGTGGAGGACGCGGCAGCGGGCAGTTACTGTCGTTGAGCGGAAAGAGGAGCGATGCCTGTAGAGCTCATGGGTGTCAAGAGGAAGCCCTTGTTTCAGTGGTTGCAGGGAAAGCAAGTTAATTGGGAAGGCATTCGTAAAATTGTTATACTAGTCCAAGAGTAGTCAAGGTGAAAGGTTCATAGTTCAAAAGGTATCTCAAGACCCCTACTCCACAACTTATTTATTCATAAAAGACTGCCCACCCATACACGTGACTGACTTTATTTCCTTCATTCATAAAGCAGGCATTTATTGATGGCCCACTGTGTGACAAGCACTGCATACCAGGATGGGGTGAAGCTCAGTGACTAACCCAGACAGGGGCAGCCTTTGGTATGATTTGCAGGTGACTCATTCACAGTCCAAATCTGTCCTTTTTGAAGGTTATATGAGATCCAAAATGCAGCTCTTCCAAGAAACAAAATATTCACTGCTCACTAAGGAAAGACTTGTTACTATTGAATGAAATAAGGTTGAATAAATACCAAGAAAATTAATTAAAACACGTAGATTTAGAGAAGTAATCCAATGATGCAGAACATGCTAGAACAGTAGTCAGACTGCATACCTGTTATTAATGAAAATGATAGCATGAAGTGCTGAACACTTCTACAAGCGCTGTTCCTCAAAGCACTAAAAGTCTTGGGAAATAGATGTGCCCTGTATACTTTAATATGACTGATATTTTTGCCCCAATGCCTACCAGCGGTTTTCTGTTTATACCCCTTCAAGGAGAGCATCTTCATCTGGGAAGAAAAGCATAATTAGAGGACTGAACAAAGGGTTAAGAAAGGCAAAAGACAGCCAATAAAGTGGTCAAGTACAGCATGCTTATTCATTCTGTGATTTAATTTAATCTCTGCTCATTCATCTCTACACTGGCTTTAAGACCGGGTTTCCTTCCTCTGTGAATGTCCTTTAGACTTGCACTGTCCAAAAGATAGCCACATGTGATTATTTACTTTAGTTAAAATGAAGTACAATAAAAACTGACATTCCTTTTTTGCACTAGCCACATTTCAAGTGCTCAGTAATTACAGGTTGCTACCATGTGCCATCCCATATATTAAAAACATTTTCATCATCAAAGAAAGTTCCGTTGAACAGAGTGGTAAGCATTCTTAAGAATTTCAAGGATAGAGTGGATAAATTGTGAAGAATAGCCTTTGTTAAAGAATAACAGTGAAAAGTGTTATTCCTGAAGACCACAGCACAGGTGAAGAGTAGTGACAGGGTATTACAAAGTAGGTTTTTTAAAAACAGTAATCCAGGAAGCCTCTCCCACATGCTGGTGTGTGTTTTTCGTGGCTCTCCATTGGTTTCCATCTCTCCCTCTGTCCAGGTTTCTTTCCTTGTCCTTTTTCTTTTTCTACTTCTTTTTCGCACTTTATCAGCCATACTAACTGAAGTAGAATTTAAAATATTCCCACCACTGGACATGTCGAATAAAGTTTTGTTTTATCCTGTTCTTAAATTTTAAGTCAGCAAAGTTTCACTTTTTACTGTGACCTTTAAAAGTAATCCAGTGATAATCAAATTAAGTTCTTTTTAACCTCTTCTGTGACCCTTTATTATTCTTTTCCTCCTGTGGGTCAGTGACCCCTGAGAAAAAGGGCCCCCTAGTTTTGGGAACAGAGTCTCTGTAAAGTGACTAAACTAGGGCTTTCAACATGGCCTACAGACATTTGTGTTGTAGTATTTATTAAAAAACGCGGGGGGCGGGGGGGGGCGGTTACAGATATTACATATAAGATGCCAGAATCTAAGTTCCTTCACAAGATCCCATGAGCAAAATGTGTTACTTGCTCAGAAATCTATATAATTCAAATGTTTGTAGATTTGTAAATAATTCAGGTTTGGAAGGCAAAACAAAAATATTAACACCAAGACAGTTTAACACAAAAACCACTCCAAATAACTGAAACCTTGCAAAACTCCACATTTAGCTTATTTTCTATTTACTTAAACTTTGAGTTGGTTGATCTATGCTCTTATTTCCATATTATTATTACCCATAGGCCTATGATGCCTAGTTATACACACACATACACGCACAATTTATTACACAAGTAAATATTAAAGAAGGGAATTCTGGGTTAGGATGCCTACTGTAAACTATAAAATACACATGGTCACCTCCCAGTTTATGTGGAAAGAGCAAGATTCACTGTTTAACTGTAAAATGTTTTCCAGCTAACTCTGATTCTCACTTAAATATGTAGGAATGTTTGTCTGTCTAGCATTCTTTTCTTCTGAGAAAGAACTGTCCCTCTTCTTTGGATTCTGCTCCTATTTTTCTGGACATGTAATTAGAAAGGGAGGTGTCATCATGTGTGGCCTTGCATTCCTGGTCCGTACAATTGATCAGGAGACCTGAACCTTACTCCTTCTGGCGTCAGGAATTTGGTCAAGGGATCGATGTATAACTTAAGATACACCAGTCATTTCCTGACATTTTTCTAAATGTAGGCAGGGAACAAAAACCTCTCTTCCTTTCGGCAAAACTGGACTGTCAGCCACCACTGACCTGCCATGTGCAGAAATTGTAAAAAAGGATAGGACCAACTTTCATTAAGAGGTAGATTCAAAGGGCTGAGACTGTCAATGATTTTTAGAGTTCCAGAATTCATAAGTGAAGTTCTCAAAGAGTCCAGTTTCCTGCTTTCTTGAAGCTTGGTTATTCAGCATTTCTGTTGATTCTGTGAGGTACCCTGGTATCTTGATAAAATATATGTTGATAAAAGTAATTAACAAAATGTATATGGTATTTCGAATGCTATTGGGAGCCCATTTAAAAATTATGTTATTTTTAACTTGCTTTCTTTCACAGAAAAGTCTATTTGGGACATTCATCACCAAAGGCCTTATATTATCATTTCTAATAGCCACTCAATCTTGTTGTTTGATAAGTCAGTTTATTTCACATTTTGCTGTTTCTAATTTTTAAACATTATAAATAAGACTGTGATGAACCCGAAATATATGAAGGTTCCAGCAACCTTCCCTTGAAGCAGGTTTGGTCAGAATTGGGTATAGGCCCATTCCATTTAAATCAGTAAAGGGCAAGGGGCTGGGAGAATTGACTTAATCTGAGCTCATTCCTGGAGTGGGGCTGATTTACACGTGCTTGAGTGGTAGGGAGAGGGGACGGTGAAGAGGTCTGGATTCCTGAAAATGAGGAAGGAGGAGGATCAGGTGTCTACTACAGTAGATTTGAACATTTCAGAGTGTTTAGAACATAATAAATGTATTAATTTTGGGCCCTAAAAGCACTGTTTAAGAGTATTAGTTGCTCTACACCCTTTCAAACCAATTAATCTATTTCATCTATTTGATAGAGCTGATGTTTGATTTTTTAAATCACAGTTTGTAAGAAAATATCTTTAAGATGATTCACAATTCTCTATATAATGGCATTAAAACATTATATTAATACAGACATAACAAAATGGCAGAACAGTGGCTATAATTTGATTCCTATAAATTCGATAGCTATGAAAATTGTTAAGTACAGAGCATGAACTTCATCTAAGGCAGAATGAAATCACTTCTGCTAATTATTTGTCGAAACAAATGTGAGTTGGATTCTTAGAATCCTATGGAAATCTCAGGAATAAGCAGTAATTTCATTAAACTAGCAAATTCTACAAAAGTTTTTGTAAATGCATAAGGTAGTTATCAATTTTCAGTCTTTGAAGTCATTAACATTTATTGAGGCAGGGTATTCAATGCTAAGAGGTTAAAGAACTATCAGTGCCATATTTTTAAGCATCAAATTCATTACAAGAGCTTTAAATCAGTGCCATTAGTGTTTTACTCTTTTTGTATTCAAATATAGTCATGAAAATAAATAAATCCTGGGGATGGGGATATTTTTTCATCACAGGAAAAAATATTTTGTAATTGTGTGGTGATGGACGTTAACTAGACCTCCTGCTGTAATTATTTCATAATATATACAAATATTGATCATTATACACCTAGAACTAATACATATCAATAAAAATAAAATATATTCATGTAACAAATATTAAACTATATTTAGCATACAGTACATATTTGGATAAAGTTCTTATCAGTAGTGAACAGGCCACTAAAGAATACATTTATAATCATAAAAGGCTTCATTGGAGTGCTTGCTTACTTTTAGTCTCTGATAGATGTTTATCATTTAAAGACCTGACTTGTGTCACTGGAAATTTACTTCAATAATCATATTCTCAGGGCTAAAAAGAATTCAGTACGCAAGTTATTCCTGCACAGATGACAAAACATTTGAGCTCCTAGAGAGAAATGTTATTGAAATATCATGACCTTCATTTCATTAGGTACTCAAGTTTACACTGCACACATGATGGATTCAAAAATATACAGAGTGTAATCCTACAAGTAGTATTTTGTGGCCAAAGTCCATCAAGACCAATTATTTGGCTTTCAAAATGTACAAAGTAGCTTTACAAAAGAGTCTAAAACTTTAAATGTTGATTATCAGTTAGAAAAGAAAAACAGTATTAGGAAAGAAAATCCAGTGTACATCTT